CAAATAGCGATGGCATAAAAAATCACGCAGTGACATCCGGATGATGTCCGTATGAATAAAATTTGTGGAAATCTTGACGTGAGGTTTGTATGATTTTCATTTATCACGCGGTGACTTTCGTATGATATCAGTATGAATAAAATTTGTGAAAATCACGACGTGATGAATATGAATGAATATCACGAATGTTGTCCGGGTCCATGGACATACCTTTTAACTCCATGGAGTTGATGTCCATGGAGTTGATGTTTTTATAGTTAAAGTCACAAACTTTAGAAAATGGTACATAAATTATGTAACATAATGTATCTTTAGTTAACTGTAATTTAAGCAAAGCATATTTGGTTATTTCACCTGGAGAAAGTTTAAATTTCAATTGTATTTAAATCCCTTTAGGTGCATATACACGGAACGATTTGTCGACCAATAAATTGTACCAAATAATCGTTAAATAAATTGTTGCAAAAAATCTCAAAGATAAATCGTACATGATCCACTGACGCAAAGTTTTATTTGAGCAATATTTCTGTTCAAATTAATCGGTCAAATTTATTGCTACATGTATGCTGTTTTCAACGAATAATTTGTCAAATTTGATCAAATTATCTGTCATCGGTGATTTTTCGGCATTCTGAAAAATAAGACCAATTTGACGTTTAATGGCGTTTTCGGGATTTTGAATTTGGCTTTAAAAATTAAAGATGAACGAAAATGCTGCTTTACTTGTTGGAATGATGGGATACATGATAATTCAAAAAAGAAGAAGAACAAGAAATCCCACGAAATGGGTCAAAACATGGTTACTGAGAAAAGAGCTGAATCATATGCCGCTTCTAAGACAATTGTTAGAAGATGATCCTGACGATTTTAAAAATTACCTGCGTATGGATGAAACAACTTTTAGGCAATTATTGGAGCTAGTAAAAGACAAATTAACTAAGCAAGATACTGTAATGCGCAAGGCAATTTCACCAGAGGAACGTCTTATTGCAACATTAAGATTTTTAGCAAGTGGACGATATTATAATTGTTTGCGATTCTCTGTTGGCATAGCCGAACAAACTCTTAGAAAAATTATTCCAGAAACATGCCGTGTTTTATTCGAAGTACTGGCAGAAGAATATTTGAAGGTAAATAAGAAATTATATGTACATTTATATTTATTAGGGATCGACCGATATCGGTATATCGGCCTTCTTGGTCGATATCGATATTGGCTGATATGTAAGTGCGATATCGTGCTATATCGACATCGGCCTGATAAAAATTTCTGTAGAAATTATTATTATTTGTATAGAAATTTTTATTAGGCCGATACCGGTATAGGCCGATATTGCACTTACTATCGACCAATACCGGTACCGGCCAAAAAAAAAACGATATACCGACATCGATCGATCCCTAATATTTATATCTTTTTATTGTAAACACTTTTGAATATTAAACAAAACATTAATCATACATCATAACGTAAATATAATAGTATTGTTTGAATTACTTTGTGTCGTAGTCTGCGAAAACTCGAAGTTTGGTGTAATGGAAGAAGGAACACTGCTATGCAGATCTTGAATGACTGTTGTTTTTGTTAGCTCCTGAAAATAGGCTTTTTTCAAAGTCTGATTAATTAGATCTTCATCTAAGATTTTTTGAACATCTGTTAGTTTTCGTACTTTTGCTGCCCAGCCAATTCCAATGGCATCGAATTCATCGATTTCTCGTTTTGTATTAGATATTTTGCTTATGGCTTGTGAACATGTTTCAAGAAATTGTTCCTCTTTTTTTCTTATAATTTTTCTTTTTTTTACTTGCAATTTTGTTTGGTGTTGCAGGTGACTTAAAAACCTGGAAACGAAATAAATACATTTAAATTCAAACGATACATTTTGAAATTATTTACAAGTACATAATGTTTTTAGTGTCCTTCGACTCAAGAAGAATGGCAAGAAATTGCAACACAATTTAAAAACCGCTGGCAGTTTGTAAATTGTGGAGGGGCATTGGATGGGAAACATATTAGAATTTCACGACCACCTCATTCTGGAGCAATGTTTTACAACTATAAAGGATTTTATAGTGTTGTACTTATGGCTTTAGTAAGTGCTGATTATAAATTTACGTGGTTGGATGTCGGCAAACAAGGTAGAATTTCTGATGGAGGGATACTGGATTGGACTTACTTTTATAATGATTTAAAATCTAACAAACTGAATTTTCCTGCAAAAGAAGACAATGACTTCAATTTGGATTTCGTCTTAATTGGTGATGAAGCATTTGCATTGGATAAACATTTATTAAAGCCTTATGCAAAAAGAGAGCTAATGCATGAAAAACAAATTTTTAACTACCGTCTATCTCGTGCCAGAAATGTTGTAGAAAATGCATTCGGGCTGCTTGCAAGCAGATTTAGAATTTTTCACACACCAATAGCAGTCATGAACGTAGAACATATTAATTATATTGTAGCAGCTGCTTGTACTTTACAAAATTTTCTACTGTCAACTAGTTCTACCTATTCGACTAAATCAACTTTCGACAGAACCAATAACAAAACTTGGATAATTGACGAAGGCGAATGGAGACGCGAAAATTTTGTGGAGCTTACTCCGCTTCAACATGCAAATCCGAGGAATGCTAGTGTTGATGCAAAATTAAACAGAGATGCATATTGCGACTTCTTTAATGGTTTAGGAAAAGTGGAATGGCAAGAAAGTATGCTGAGAAAGGGTACAGCTTAAGCGTTTAGTAATTACTATCTTAACTGTATACTTATAAGTATGTAATTTATAACATTTAATATACATATATATAAATAAAAAAAATTAAACTTACTTTTGTGGACTTAGATGTTTCTGCCAAAGACACTTGAGAACTTGATCTCTCACTAAAATCTGTATTTTGACTTTCATGATCATTATTTTGAGTTACATTATTTGCAAAATTGTCTTCCCTATCTTCCTCCTCAATTTCATTAACTTCGTTTTCACTTTCAACGTCCGTATCAAAAGTACTGATATTTGGAAAAGGCCTTTTTCTGCTTTCTAAGCTTGCGCGGGGTAGTACGTCATCGCAGGTGAAAAGAAGTAAATCACAGTGATGTAACCGATACATTTTTTTCAGTATCTAGGTACCGATACAGATACTCTCTGGTAGATGTATCTGGGTACAGATACCGATACATTTTCCCAAAAGTATCTGGGTACAGATACAGATACATTCAAAAAGTATCTAAGTTACTTCCAGATACTATGTTAAAAAAACCTTCAAAATTAAATGACAAAAAAAATTTTTTGGACCTTATATACAAGCGTGTTAACTATAAAATAAAACTGTTTTGATAAAATTGACGAAATATCCATGAAAAACGGAAATAAATTTTATATTTACGCGCCATATGAAAGCTTAATACAAAATTTGTAGTACAAATTCAAAATTATCAGAACGAAGAAAAATGGGTAAAATAAAATGGGTAAAATAAAATGTATCTTGTATCTAAGGATCTAGATACTTTCAAAAGGATCTAGATACTAAAGTAGATCCTGATTTTTTTAAGTATCTCGATACGTATCTAGGTACATAAAATGTATCTAGATCCAGTATCTAGATACATGTATCTCGATACATTATATCATATATCATATCACTGGTAAATCATAGTACCACAACTTGGGTACATAAATATCGTCATATCCAGCTCCGCTTCTTTTAGACTCTTCTACTCTCCTTAACTCTTTCCGAAAAGCTGTTCTAAGGTTTTGTAATTTTTGCATTACAAATGCCTTATCTGCATCCTTGTAAAACTGTTTACTAAAATTAATTAATTCGTCGTAGCTTATTTTTTTAATATTTCTATTCGTATATTGGGGACTCGTTTTCCATAAACACGGATTATTACGGTATAACTCAAGAAAGCCGGTTATAAACTCTTTGCTTGCCATAATTTATACTATATTACTCAAAACTGACGTACGACTCAAAACTTCAAACTAAAATTTAGCCCGCTATGATCAAATAACTTTCGGACAAGCACACGTACAGCACGCTTTGAAAAATATCGGCAGATTTTTATTGACCGATTTATCTGCAGATAAATCGTTGTGTTTATGTCAAGAGACCAAACTATCGTTTCAAATTATTTTAGTGGATTTATCTTACAATCTTCTTAATTTGTACTTTTCCACTAACGAGCAGTTTTATCTGTATAATTTTAAAAATTTAACGATAAATTGCTCAAATTGGTCGATAAATCGTTTTGTGTATATGCACCTAAAAGGTTATTAAAGACATGGAGTTGATCTTTAATAAAAATACTTACCCGTTTTTTCGCAAATAATTGTTCTTTATAAATTTTTATTAAATATTACACCCCCTTTGCCTTGCTTACACAAATCAACACTAAATCACTCAAACGACGATGTCTTCAAACATTACTAAAATACGTTTTATACAGGGGATTTATCATATATTAAAAGACTGCAAAGAACTCAGCTGTGAAATGGTGTCTCATGCTTTATTCGACATTTTGGGTTAAAATATCAATAAGTTTGCTTTTGGTTGTGTTTTTTTATACATTCCAAGTTAGAGAAAATGCAATATGAAAGAATCATTTCACAATTGCATCTAGTCTAATAGTATATGGATGATTTGTTGTCCCTACGCTAGGTGGTGACAGTCCATGGAGTTGACTTTAAAGCGTTTTTAAAAGCAAATTCAAATTAATGAAATAAATAATGTTTTATTTTTTTGTTTAAGTACGTTCTACTGCTAGACATAAATGCTAACTACTTTCATGAGTATATTTTATTTAAGAGTTTCAGCATATTTGCTCCGTTCTGGAGAATCACCCAGATATCTAAGGAATTTTATATGCATATACGAGTTGCATATTAAATTTGTATTTTTTTTTTTAAATAAATTTTTTCAACAAAAATAGTTTATTTGTGTATTTTGATTTATTAACCAAATCGGTGAATTATAAATTAATTTTATTCGTTAAAACGAGTCTAAACTTTATAACCTACAATATGCCCTTTTCCAATACATTCACCAACATAAAACCAGCAGCCAACTTCGGTGGCCACAAGAGTATTTAACCAGGCTTCTCTGACAGTCAGGTTTCTCCAGGAAAAAGTTGTTGCTGCTTTTACCAAACGGCCGAATCCGAAAACTACTTTTGGAATTTCACCTGGGGTAGGGGGGATAAGTTCGACTTTAGCATATTTAACGAAAACTGCTATTCTTGGACGAGCTTCTTCAGCTATTTTTTCAGCCAACACAGGTATTTTTTTAAGAAGTTTAGCCATACTTTTTGTGTTTTGTATTTTAATTTGACAGCTGTCCAAGTTAATCAAGATTATTTTGACAAGAAAAATGTTTTCACCCATAATATAACTAGTGGTATGATTATCATCGATGATATTTTCGAATTGAAACCGAGCTGCAGATTTCACGAGTCCGCAGGACGAGTGAAATGTGCTGCTTCGGTTTTAATGAGTAAATATCATCGATAATTAATCATACCACGAGTTATATTTAGTGAGAAAATATAATGAATTTTAGGATTTAACGAATTTTTAGTTTGACATTTGAAATTAAAATGTGCTTTAAAATATAAAAAGACTTTAATAAACCTTATTTATTCAAACTTACCTTAATTTTATTATCGTTTACACCAACCCATCGATCTTTTAGAGTTTATAATTCATTATTTTAATCATTTAGGTAACAAACACAGTATTTAAATGACAACAAATGTCAAATCAAAAAAACGTCAAAGTTCATAGTAACGTGTAAACAAGATGATAAAAATTATTGCCGCTGTGATAAAATACGTCACTATGGAATACTGGCATTTTATTGGTTCTAATATTAATGAATTATATTGTCATCTTTATTTTCTGTTTGTACCTTTCGCTGTTATAAATAAGTAATAAGAAATTACTAAACAAATATAAAATTTAAGAAATGCCTCCTACTATTAGGTACTATATTATTACTTAGTTAGTAATAATATTATTAATAAATTTGTTAAAAACTAGATATACCAAAAGATAATATACCTTTACGTAGTTCCCCGATAAACGCCTCTAATGTAATACAATTTTATTAAAATACTCACACCATGACCGCTGCCGCGTTGCACTTTACAAGTCTTGCAGGGGACTGCGGAAGGGCAGATTTCAATTTATTTGGAAATCTGAGCAATTCTCCTTTTACCCAACTTTTTCACTTTGTATTATATGTATTTTTTTTCTTGTACTTTTTTGTTTTTGGGTAATAAATCTATTATTATTATTATTATTATTATTATTATTATTATTATTATAAGTAAGTGACAGGATCTTATAGGCTATTTACGTATGAAAGAGGGTAGATTTTGCAAAAGAAAATTCTAGCCATCCTTGTTCAATTTTATATTACCATAGTTCTTATTTAAAGTAAAAAAAGAATGCTGTCTTTCCAAAAACACAAACATAGTTCGTTTGCAGTTGAAACATTTTTACTTGTTTAAAAACCATTAACAGTGTATTTTAGTATAAAGTTGTTAAAATTATGATTTAAATTTAAACTTGTGGAATATAGGGAGTCTTCCATATATCAGGGTGTGCTTATAGTGCACATTATGGTAAGCTCTTAGGCTAGTTATGGCTTTAGTTAATGGGGATATTTTAATTTTACTGGCGAAAAAATTCTTAGCTTGATTGTAGATGAATTCCTTTATAGGTTCAATTCCGGTAAGGTCATGCATTCCTTCGACAGAATCGTACCTGCACGCTCCGGTGACGTGCCTAAGAGCTTTGTTCTGGAGCCGCTGGATTTGGAGGCAGGTAGTGTCGGGAATGGAGCACCAAACCGGATATCCATAGGTTATTGCGGGTCTAACTATGGTTTAATATAGGATGGTTTTGTTTTCTAGGGATAAAGGGCTATTTTTGTTTATTAATGGATATATTTTGCTGATGGCATTGTAGGCTTTGCCTTTAAGGGAGTGTACATGTGGGCCAAAGGTAAGTCTCCTGTCGAATATTATACCCAAATATTTAACCGTTGTTTTTGGATTATTTGGGAGCCACTTAGGTTTAGATGGGTAAACATTTTATTATTTGTAAATTTCAAACTGAAATTTATGAGCTCTAATAGCAAAACTGGGAGATTTTTAATTATTTAATAGAACTTGAGAAGTCCTATTATTTGTAAAGGATTTTATTATTTTTATAATTTATAGGTATTTTTAAGTGTATCAATTTTGCTATTAGGCCGTCGTGCCATACTCTGTCGAACGCTTTTTCGACGTCAAGTAGTGCCATCACCGTGTTCTGGTTTCTGTTAAAGGCCTTCTTGACGTCGTGAACTATTCTTGTGGCTTGATGTACAGTGCTGTAGCCAGGCCGGAACCCGCACTGTTCTTCCGGTGTGATTTTGAGTTTTTTATCCGCCGCATCGATATTGTTTAGTACAACCCTTTCAAGCACCTTTGAAATGCTGCTGAGCAGGCTAATGGGCCGGTAGCTGACAGGTTGGGTAGGATCTTTGCCACTTTTATGGATAGGAACAATCAGGGCGTGCTTCCAGGCTGCAGGAAAATAGGAGTTTTTAATGCAGGCATTGACAATATAAGTTGCACGAGAGTTTTAGTAGGCATATTTTTCAATAATATGTTGTCTATATTGTCAATGCCTGGTGCTTTATTGTTACGAAATTGATTTATGATTAATTTAAGTTTACTAGGGGATGTTAGATGGTTTGGATTTAGTGGTGCCAAGTCTGGAAGCAAGCCCTGATTGTTCGCGGTATTCAATATTTCAAGATTTTTATTAGTGAGTGTGGTGTGATCTATATTGTGAACGGTCAGTATATTAGCCTTATCTTCATTTGAAGAATAATCTTTGTTGTTGGCTTGGAGGGTGGGAATTTCGGGTTTGGTATGCAAATTTTTGGCAACCGTCCACAAGCTGTTATCTGATGGCTTAAGCTGGCCATGTGTTCCCTAATTTCGAAATTGATCTCTTGGCGAAGTTGGTTGTAAATGTCTTTATATTGTTGCAGTTTATGAACGAAGTGTATACGTACAGAGGCGCCTCTATAAAGTTACGGTTATGTACAGAGGCGATTTTGGTTTTTAAGTGAAAAAAAACTGGCAGATGATCAGAATCGAGCTCATGCCTGGGCTCGGGGTCGCGTGCAAGCTCAACATTTTTTAATATGCCAATATCAAGGGTGGAGGGGTGAGTGCCGTTAGCAGGATAGTGAGTTGGCTCATTTGGGTAGGCGAGTATACAATTTGACAAGTTAATGTAATTTGGCAGGGTAGTGCCGTTAGCATTACATCTACAATAATTCCAAAGGCGATTTGTCGCGTTTAGGTCGCCCACCATAATGGCCTTATCATATCTGTCAAAGAGTTCAGACAGATCGAAGATCTATCGGAGAGTGGATTTTAAGTTGCAATAAGGTGAAAGTTGTTTATTTTTAAAATAATGTGTTCGATTGTCGAAACTCTTTGTCCGAGGCGAGTATGTGGGATATGATTTTTAATTAGGATGGCCACCCCACCGCCCCTGAGGGCATTAGGCCGATCCTGGCGGTTTGATTTTCAGTTTGTGTTCGGAATAAGTTTGGTTTCGTTAATAACAAGGATATCAATTGGATGGGAGTTAAGGAAATGGATAAGGGTAGGTATTTTATATCTCAGGGAGTTTGAATTTAAGAGAATTATGTTGAAAATATTTTTAGGAGCCATTTAAAAGTCGTATTGGTCAAGATTATTAATAGCGAATTCAGCGAATACCATAAATATCTCAGTTTTTTTATTTACCATTAGCAATTTACTATTTAAGTCTCTTAAGGCCCTAAGCATTTCACTAATGTTGCAAATAGAATTTAGGGTGGCGAACTGCGCCATGGTTTCCTAAAACGCATTGTTGGAAGTAGGCACACTTGAGTTGTTGTTAGGGGCGTAGTTGGCGGTGATCTTGGGTGTGGATTGGGACGGTTTCTGGCCTCTTCGCGTTGGGTTTTGGGTGCTTCGGCGGGGACGTATTTGGTTCCAGGTCGTTGTACTGCTCTGCGTTCTTCTAATTGTTTTACTTTATATTTGTATACGTCACAGTTAACAGAGCTTGTAGGGTGGCTACCCCCTCAGTTTATGCATGTTGCGGCTGCTGTGATGACTTTAGTGCATTCTTTGGTGGGGTGGTCGCCAGCACATTTCAGGCATTTGTAGCTCCTGTAACAGTTCGATGTCGCGTGCCCCCACTCTTGGCAGCGGTGGCAAGAAAATGTATTAGTTTGAAAAACTGAAATGCTTAATTACTTAGCAACCGTTAAACGGATTTTAAAAATTTAAATAGCATCGAATAGAGAATCGAAATACCTTTCAAATGAGGTATCACAAGCCCCCCTTTCCCTTTGAAATTTTTAAGTTGATACTGCCCTCTTGGCGCTTCTTAAATGGGCACCTATCAATTTGACGTCAAAAATGTCCTTGACAATGGTTTTTGTCCGATGTCGATACCTTTTTTCGTTCAAAAGATAACAGGGGGGGGGACTTTTAACGTCCGCACTGTATAAGCTAAATATGGTTTAGCACAAACTGGAAAAAACTTACTATTACTACTTTTCATTCAATTAAAAAAAATTATTAACACTTCTTGGGTATAAGAATAAGAATTTTACATTACATGCTGTGTTTAATATTAAAACACCCACCATTTTTAACACCTACACGTAACACCTACCTATGTAGTAAATTACACCAAATTGAGCATTTAGATATTATTTTTACACTGATACGAGTTTTTTGTACGAATATAATGTGTAGATTATTAACCAATTAAAAAGGATAAAATTTAACAAATTGTATGTGGTTAGATATACCATTTCTAGTGTGGACCTATAGACAACTTTTGGTGTTGTTTTTTATTAGAAATTTTATTCTGTGTAGGTACGTCACTAAAAACCAGTTGTTTTTTTGTCTTTTTTAGAGTATTTTTATTACTAAATATTTTTTGTAATTTTGTTTTTTTGGTAATTTAATTTAATTTTTTATACTTAATTTCAGCAGTTTTTTACATTTTCAATTACATATTGCCAGTTTGTCGCAATATATATATATTTTAAATATTAGGGCTTAAAATTAAAATATTTGATGTATTATATTTAAATATAAAAGGGGCGCATTAAAAAATCCTGCACGTAGGCGTATTATTTTCTGGTATTAGAAAGTTATTAAACAAAAACTTGTTTGTAACATGAAAATGTGTGCTCTAAGCATCTAAAATAAAAATGTTACAATGAATTAAATGTTTTTG